CCTGGTTCGCGAAATCGCTTCCCGCCAAAGAAATACGCATCTTTTTTGGGGGTACCGTATGCGGGGCTTAGGCGCTTATGAGGGTATATCTTGAAACAGGAGGATGACGCACGGGGTAGGAACATATGCCCAAAGTCTCAGCCTCCCAGGTTTCCTGGTTATTGAGGTGAAAGTGGGTGACAAAATGCACTCGCTTCTGAACATACGCACACGCAGACACCCTCTTGATAATTTGCGGTTTTGCTAACAGTAGCAGCGCTATGGCGCTGTACGTGTGTGTGTGTGTGTGTGTGTGTGTGTGTGTGTGTTTGTAGCTCTGCACAGCAAAAACGCATAAAAAGCAAAATCACACCGGTAAGTCTGGTAATTCGCAACCCAGGTTTATTTTATGAGTGAAATTCTTTCAGTTCGATTTAATCTTCAAGGGCTCACCGTTCAAAATGAAGGTAATGCCACTGAAAGCTTCCGAAATGTTGCAACATATGAAAGAGAAGCCGAAGATGGATTTCTCCGCTGTGGTTGTGGCGCCAATGCCTGGCGCTATAAAAACTGTTAGCGCCACACCTGGACAGATGGTTAGCTTCACATTTTTATCAACCAATTAATCCCTAAATATTGTATAATATTCTAAAAAGTCGTCACTGAAGGTCAGGAATTTCTAGCAGCACTGCTAGAAACTCTGAACACATTAACATTTTGGTGGTAAATGAAGTCGGATAGAGCTGTTGAGTTTGGAGTTGATAGAATCATTAGTTTGAAGACGGAAATTATCAATAGTTATATTTTTACAGTCGCGAACTCTAAATCTAGTAAAAGCTCCTTTATCTGGATCCTTTTGATTTGTAGGAGAGTTCAGCAGTGCTTGACATCCACAAAGAAAAAGCATTTTGCAGGTAACTGAAGGCCAGGAGCTCTGTGTTATCGAAGCAATGAAAATGCAGAATAGCTTGCTAGCTGGTAAAACGGGGAAGGTGTGTGTTAATTTTTATTTCACCTGTAGTTTCCTGTTGCATGAAATTTATATACGTTGAAGACACCATGCAGCCTTTTCATAAGAGCAAAAAATGTTTTGCATTTTAAAAAATGAAATCAAGGGACACAACGAGTGCAACAGAAAAGCCAGCATTTCACTCTTCGCTATTTTTGGGTTCTGACCCGCCATTTGAGCTTTGCTGCTGCATTTTAAGCAGCAGTAAGCCACATCTTAATTGCGCGGACGAAAGGCAGGATCGCCACTGATGTAGATTATGTGCAGTATGTGCAACAGTAACGAAAAGTAGCAAAGCTAAAAGTTAACGTCGATCCCATCCGCCTCCGACCCTCCACTGTTCTACTTCGCCTAC